AGCTTTGGAGTGTGGCAATTAAATCATAAGCCTTATATTAAACCTTGGAGAGAATGTATCACTAAAACTCATTTATTTCAGAGTCCTGGGTGTCCTGAATTATAAATAAGCTCTCTTGCTGCAAACATCTGTCCATCTAAATGAGTCTGACAGTGTTTCTACAACAGGAGGAGAAATATTGCATAATCCATCAAAACATTTTAAATGTCTTACAATTAAAATAAATGTTTTTTTGAGTTGTGCAATGAGGAACATGAATATTTATATGATAATAGCATGCATCTCCATACAGATTCTTCCTGAATTTGGTTTATTAATATATTTCTTAATCTTCATAATTAAGTTATGATCCAAGCTTTTGCATATATTAATCAGAACATAAGTAACTGGAATTTTATCTAAATGAAAATGTTCAGGAGTTTTGGAATGTTCACTTAATAATGGGAAGAAACAACCTTGCCTGTCCATTTTTAACTTAAGTAGAAATTAATAAGAAGTAAGAAAATAGTGGTGAGTTTTTGTTTTGGGGATCCTTTTGATATACTTGGTTGTGAATATGTCTCCCAGTAACTTGGAAATTAAAATGCATAGCTTTCTGTTTCACTTTCTACTTGCACAAACTTACGACCATTAGCTCAAGTTCTGTTACCTTCTGCTGTAATTTGATAAGTATTTACATAAACATATATCCTGTGTTCCTGCATCGACAAAATTATCTTGAAGCAGTAAGTTTTGTTGTAATTAGACTTGTTGCTTGTTTTTTCTCTTTTTCTTTTTCTTTTTTTTTTTAATTAGAAGTTAATGTGGGATGTTTTTAATATAAACAAATTTTCATTTTATTTTGTTATTAGAGTTCTCCTTGTTCACATAATCTATCTCCTCTTTGACTCAGCAAATGCACCAATGTTAACAGTCAAGATAAAGCATTTTAGCTGTTAAACACATTGCATGTAGGAGTAGCAAAATAACCTGAGGGGTATGGTAAATTCGTCTGGCATTGTTGGAAACAATTTTTTCATTTCTTTTTATAAAATAAGTTAATTGTTTTCTCATTACTAACTCTGACTTCCTTACCACAAGACAAATAAACAATCTGAGGACTGATTAAAGGTCTCTAGAAAATTGTACACTTTTATCTTCTGATCACTTGGTCTTATGACCAGTGTAATTTTATTAGAACAGACAGTGATTGTACTAGATAGCAGCGGACTCGGAGTACACCTATGTTCTGTGTTGTTCAACATAAATTTAAAAGGTCTGTTTTATGATCACTGTTCACGTTGTGTGACTGGAAGTAGTGTGGAATTTTGCTTGGGTCTATAAAATTACCTGTGCTTGAAACCCCACCACTGGGTTTTTTCTGCTACACATTTGCTGGTACATAACTGCATGCTTGAGAATAGGTTTGCTGAATGAGCGTTCTACAGCAAAACAGCCATGCTGTCATGTTGGAAATGAACAGTAAAAAGAACAGAATAAAAGAGTTCAGGAATACCTTGGAGAAGGAGAGACTGAGGGACTAGTCAGAGAAATTATTTTAGCAGTTTTGCGCTAACACGCTAACCTTTACTTTCTGTGTAGTTAGGTAAGAGAAAGCCACAAGCAGACTGTAGTGACTTTCTTCCCAAGTGCAGGATTTTCTCTACACATCAGTTTTTGATGGTATCTGTGATCAAAGGGACGTGCGCTGTTCATACACTTCCTCTGTACTTCAGAACTGGTGGTGACCTGGAGGGTGCACAAGTGCCCTTGTGTGGTTGCCTGGAAACTTTGGCCCACACAAGTGTCAACTTTCTTTCATGGCTATAAAGGCAGACGGAGCCTCACAGAGAGCTTTAGTCTTAGAGAAAAAAAGGTCCTTGTGTGTTTTAAAACAAGTGTCTCACCAGGAGATAATGGTAGAGCAGTGGGTTATAAATGATGTATTTTGTTCACTTCGCCTTGATAATGGCACAAGGGAAAAAAAGTTCATCGTTCTCTTATCAAAATACTGTGACATTTCTCCTTCAACTGTAAAATTTCCTATCACATTCCTCTGCTGCAACAGCAACTAAATTTACTCAATTGTGGAGACTACATAATCTCTCATCAAAAGGTGTCTTTTTTATTCTTTCTTTTCTCCCTACTTACACTTCAGGAGAAGCACCAAGGTTGCTAAAATCGTCAGAATTAATTTTTCTTCTAAGGCTCATATAGATTAACTAGTAACTATTATACTGTGCCACACAGACTTTTCCTCTTGGCCAAAGGCAGTGTGTCATCTTCACTCGTCATGTTTGTTTTTTTTAACACTGACCACATTCACTGCTTCTGATGCGTTTTTAAGTAAGAAAATTATAAACGAATGTGTCTACTGATTATTGAAGACCAAAAGCACTGAAGAACAGTTGAACCTCTCTAGAGTACTAAGTTATTTTCAGTAAGTACAGATTTGTGTTTGATACAATGTGTGACATTTCTATTCCTGCAATTAAATAACTTTCTGTAACATTTCCAGCTTGCGAAAGTGCAGATCTGCATGTTCTTCTTGGGGAAGCATGTTCATTTAAGTTTTTGCCTGCCATCTGCCTGAAGAATGGTTCCCAAAACACGTTTCCACAGCACACTGGCGGTGCTCCGCCGGGGACGTCTGTGTGAATGCGGGCGCATTGTTTGGGGCTGTTTCCAGTGCGGCTGTTCTGAGCCAGCTGACGTCCATGCAAAGGGATTCCACCGGCTTTGGATAAAATTTGCCTTTTTCTCTACAAACTACCAGTAAGCTTGCATGTAGTAGGCTATATTTCGTCTGTGTGAGCTGTTGCTCTGATACAAAGGGACAACCACTTACAAAACCAGGGGACATATTACCACAAAATACTTGTCTGCTTCCATGACTGTGAGAGTAAGCACCATAAAATAAAGTGTTCAAAGTATGTGTTAATTTGTATTTTGAGATTTACTACTATAATGATTCTAAGAGTACTGAAAAAACTGTAAAGACATTTTTTGCTTTGTAAGCAAAATTCCCACCGAGAATGTCCCACCCTGCAGATGTGGCCCACGTCACTAGTTTCCAGTGGTGGTATATGGAAGGATACTGGGTAACTGCAGAATATTGTTGTTAGTTGCTGAAATGTTTATAAAAATGCATGCTATACTATTGCTAAAATGTAGAGGTAAATCTCTAGATGGGAATGCACCTTGGAGAAAGTAGTAGCTTAAAGAAAGTGTGTAAAGTTGCTTTGAGTTCAGACTGCAGGCAGAAAAATCTTTTGTTTCTTCCAACACAGCAAATATTGGAAAAGTTATAGTGCTAATATAATGATTGACTTCTTACAGTGGATCCTGCTCAGAATTACAATGTTCTCAGAATTAATCTCCAGAGACATCTAGAGGATATGTGACATTCCCTGCAGGACTTGGAGCCTTGAACTTCAATAATAGTCACTATAGCATTTAAAAGAAACACACACACACCATTAATTAAGTGAAAATGCCCCAATACCAAATGACAGCATGGATAAAATCTACATATATGTGTGAATGTGTTCTGTGCCTGGCCTGTAAATGTTCTGTTTCAACCAACTGTGACTTTTTATATTTTAGAGAAGAGTTTTCTGCTGACTGGATCATCGTTTGGGAGAAATTTGAAGTGGTGTAATATAAGAGCACCAATGTTTTGTGATACATATGACAGCTGGGGTTGAAACTGGGGATAAGTGAAGTTCATTTGATGTTACATGTCACATGGCTTTTGGAAGATCTGTTGTCTTTAATCATAATCTCCTGAAACAAAAGCTTACGCGTGGACTGTTTGTGAAGTGCATAACACTGTTTTCATGTTTTACAAGAGAAGGCACAGTCATCTGTTGCATTTGGAAAACTGTTAAAGATATTTTTTTGCAAAACACTTATTTTATTAACAGTGCAACTCAAGAAAAGCTCTTGGTTTAAAATTGCTTTTACATTTTTATTAGTTGAAACTATAAGATTACTTTGTAATTGAATTTTTATTTGAGTTGGAATGGTCAGTGGAAATGATCGGCATACCCAATACTCCCATTGCTATGCAAAAGTAGTTTTGTTTTTCTGGAATACAGGAAATTATGCAGTGCATGCAAATATTAATCAATGAATATATGCTTTAAATAATTTGGATTTGGGACTTACATTATTTTTAAATAGTTTGGAAAAGTGCATAACAGTTACAGACTGTGGTGAGGACACTTTTGAGTAAGGCAAAGTCAAGATGCTTGTTCTTACTTTACCTGCTCACAAGTACAGGTATTTTTTGGTTGTTTTTTTTTTTTTTTTTAATCTGTTTCCTGTCAAGTGGCCACAATTGCTGAATTGCATTTTACTTTCATACTTCAATATCTAATGTTAATACAGTGGAGGAAACTTTAAAAAAAGGTTTAAAAAAAAAATAATAATGGTATGCAGTATGATCAGTATTGTACCCTGACAAAGAAGCTTGTGGCCAATCAGCTCCTCAACTACCTTTGCCTTAGAAAAAGTTCACATTAAAAAGTAGCTATAATAAATAAAACTTGCTTTCAGTCCCATACACAGGACAGATGGTTTGCTCTGTGGAATAAGACTGTATGTAGTGGAGCTCTCTTCCATATTATAAAATAGTTGTAGGTAGAGGGGATGGAAGTTCTTGAGCTAGAAGCAGTGCAGGAAGGGAGCCTCAGAAATAGGATGCAAAGAAAGTTATAAAAGAGAAGAGCCATTCTGTCTGGATTTCCAGCTGGGTGATGATGGAGCATGGGCCCTTGTGAAGTTGGAAGGCCAGCAGGGAGGTAGGTGTCCTTGAAAGATGGAGTGTGTAAGTGTGGTTCAGTTGCAAAGTCTGTGGCACTGTTAGAGTTGTTGCAGTAATGCTGAATTTTATGATTCGCTGATACTGTCTTGTGGAAACAAAAAGAAAGGTCTAAGAGGAAAACCAGAAGGCCCTTGTAAAAAAAAAAAAAAAAAAAAAAAAGAGAAAAAAAAAAAAGAAAAAAAGGACACTCTCATTCTGTATAGTTAAAATGAACTTCTGTTGTATTGTGTAAATTAGTTTTGCACTTGTAACACTAAGATGGTTTGATAGAAAGAACATTTTTGCTTGAAGGTACACACAGTATCAAATGAGGTAAAAAGAGAAGGGTTCATTGAAGGGAATGGAGGCACCAGCAGCTTTTACTCCTACATTGCCTATCTTACATAGCCTTGAGCATTCCTTTCCAATAAAGAGAAAGGAAAAGTCACTGGGAACCCCCAGAAAGTTGCTCCTTCTTTTTTTCTCCTACACTTCCTTTCATTTGTGTGAAATACATGGGTACATAAATAGCCCATGTAACCCTTCTCTTCCCCCCTTTCTGGCCCACCTTCTCTCTATTTTTTCCAACAGATAATCTGATTTACAACATAATTATGTTCACTAATTAATAATGTGCAGCTCAGGAGAAGGAAAGTCATTTAGTATGGAAAAATTATGATGTAGAATTAAGGGTTCAGATATGTGAACATGTTTTGGTGGAATAGCAAGTTTCCTACACTGTCTAACTGTTGGTAACTGTCCATTATTACACTTTAGATCATGAATTTAGAGTGCTTTGATTCAGTCCTTTGGCCAGCATTCATTTACCCAGCTTCTTTTTTCCCTTCTTCAAGCTGCATGTCCAAAACACAGTGTAGTTCTACATTTATTGACTTCAGAAAAAGGACTTGATGCCTCAGAAATGTCATTATATGCAAAATGTCTGCAGAGTGGGGAAGGTAAAATAATTGGTAGCAACTTTCTTCCAGTGGAAAGTGAAGTCCAGTGCAACAGTATAAACCTTAAAGCTCTAGGGCAGATCCCTAGAAAATGTTCTGTTGTGTGCAATGGGTTGTACTGGATGAGTTTTGTAAAACTGAATAGTGTTGCCTTGGTGTAATTGTTATGAATGTAAACATATGTGAAAGGGGAGATGGCAGTAGTATAAAAGCATAATGACTGGAATTTCTTCCTTTGAAATATACTCTCATGTCAAAAGCTACTTTCTTGCACAGTAAATTGGATCACAGCAAATACATTATTGATTATGTTATTGTAAATCGTTTGCAGGTGAGAGATATTTTGTATTATTACTTGTTCAGAGTCCAACAATCATGAGATAAAAAGGACAAATTGGAATTTCACTTGATGGAGTCCTGCACATCAGATATTCTTCTATCTGAAGCTGCCAGTAGTGCAGCAGAAATGCCTAAATGGTATTAGGTAGAAAACTGACAGCAGCCTGCATTTCTGGAACTGGACAGCAGAAATCAGGTAATCATTTGCATATATGTGTACGTACAGTGTCACATTTTGGTGTTGAATACAGGTGACACAGCTTTTGTATTTATTGGAATTGAATTTTTTTCCCTTGTTCTGTTTCACAGACCTAATGCAAGGGAGCAGTCAAAGCTGCATGAACAGATGCTGAACTTCTCAGGTACGCGGTGTCAAATGCCTGAATCATGAGACCATACCTACAAACAGGGGTACATCAGATGCTTGTACTTTCTCTAGAACACATTGCCTTTAGCATCGGTCTCCATTATAGATATTTTAAATATTTTTAAAAATTTATTCTCTCTTCAACTTCTGCAAACGTTTTAAGATTCTCTCCCATAAAAAGAAAAATAAAAGAAAAAATGGAACAGAGAGACAAAGGCAACTGTGAAGAGTTATCCTCAACTTGTTCATAGTACATGCTTTTGTATCATTAAAATGACTGTGATACAGCAACTGGCAGATTTTGACTTCTCTTGCCTTCAAGCAGATAGTGCCAGGAAAGCGAGCAGAGACATGATATACTGAGTCTAATTTATCATTCTAGTTTTCTGCTTATGAAGCCTGAAACAGTGAAGTGTTCAGGTTGAAATACTGATCAAATTCACTCTTTTTAGAGGGTGGCTTTCTGATTTAGTGAAATAGAGTGAGAATGAAAGAGCTATTAAGTTGTCAGCAGCTGTTAAGCTATTGGCATTCCAAGCTAGTGTAGAAAAATACAAAAATCCTACATTTTTTCTATCCATAAAAAGCAAACTTCAGAAAATTTTGGTAGAATATCTACAATGGAATCCTAGCTATGAAGTCTGAAAAGCAGAAGAGCCTGAAAATTGGTTATCTGGAAATCAAAACATAGTCTTGAAAATTTTATATTGTCTGTGTGCCATCACTTCCAAAGCTGGAATTGAACATTAAATGATCACACTGATGTTCTTCATTCCTTCAATTCCACTGGCATGCTATGTGAGTGGTTCTTATTGTAAGGATTGATACGTTCTGACATAATGAATGCAGTGTGTATATTGGAAATGACCACTGATTTCCTGTTTAATTTTTGTTTTGCAGAGGCCACAATTTGTCATCTCAAAATATTTCGGAGAAAATCACTGCAGAATTTCACATTCATCATGGCTTTATTTTTTAATTAAAGAAGAACAGCAATCATTAAAATTAGCTTTTGCATATTCCAGAAATGCCTTTGACAGTACATGCAAAGGAGGAAGGAACTGCAGAGATAAATTCCAGTCATCTCAGTTTTCAGTGGAAATCAAAAAACGACTGGGAGAAGGTTAAGAAGTAATGGGGTGAACATTCTTGAGAAACACTGCAAAATTACACAGAGCCATCATGTTGAACATGCAGGGCCTAATCTGAAACCTGCTGAGGTCAATTAAAATCTTGATATTAATTTTCTCAGGTTTCAGATTAACCTCATCTTTATTTTGTAGAATTATATTATGATGGATTTTTTCTATCCTCAGGCTTACATGCTTTTGTCTTCACACTTTCTGTAAGATTCCCAATAATGCTATTTTTAATTTGATGTTCAGGTTCTACTCCTTCCTGTGAGAAATACATTTGTAATGCAAATAGAAGCTGGAAAATGGTTGTCTGAAGGTGGTGTTCTTATACCCGCACTGTTCTTTCTAAAATGCCAAGTATTGTCTGATGGAAATATTTAATAGTTTGACTCTAAATTATTTAAATAAATATCCTTTATTAAATGAAATTGCAGAAGTGGTTGTTGTGACAGTGTAATCATTTACTCAAATTACCCATCCTTGTAGATATTTTTCCTTTGTTTCAACCTCTATTTTCACTAATATATAATAACTCTGGATCTATACTTCAGAACAACAGATTATTTTAGACTATGTCTGTGAAAATACTAATTGGTCTTATTTGTGGTACATCATTACAGTGAGTTAAGTTTATCTGTGCTGTGCATAGGTATGGGTTTAGTACTGATTGACTGTTATTATGTAGGCTCTGGCTACATTCCAGCAGTGGTGCAGCTGTATCTGTATAACTGTGTATCACACCAAAATCCCCACAAATCCAAAACACAGCAGTCTGACTCATGGGTATGTTTTTGGCTTGTTATTATTATTACTGTTATTATTTTGGTAACATATCTGGCAAGATTGCTGAAAACCAAATGAATAAATCAAGACTGTTTTTAGCCCTCAGATTTCATGTAATTAGATGTCTGTAGCTGATGTGCTAAGAGGTGGCTTTCTCACTGTGCAGTCTTCCAGTTGATGCTGTCCCTATCCTTTGAACACAGAAAAGAAAATCACAACAAAGCAATTACTGTTTTTCAAGCTCAGTCTTTACAGGTTGATATTAATGCTGCAGGTAAATGTTTGCCAAAAGCATACCTGTAAGTATATTGTTGCTAAAATCAAAAGGGAAAACCTTATTGTAGTCTCTCCAGCTAGCAGTCATCACTTAAAGTAAGGAATGTGAAGTGACCAGCTGCCCCCGTATTCAGCATTTGGAACAGCAGATTCAAAATGTTTCAAGTATTGTCACTGGCAATTGTTTGCTACTAGCATTTCAATATTGTTCTATATAATAATAATCTATTTAATCAGATTACAGAAGAAAACATTGACTGCCTGTCTACCTGTGTCCAGAGGAGTTTCGTAACCCATTCTTATGTGTTCCTTGTTCATCGTTCAGATTGTCATGTTATTTTGTAACCATGGAGAACAGGGAGGGATGCCTGTTGGTCGAATTTAGATTTCTCCGGCTGAGTGCAAACCAATTTTTGAGAAAAATGAGAAAACATTTCCTAATGTAAATTGTACTGTCACTCCCTTATATCATCAGTGCAAAATGGATTTCTTTCCAGATCATCTGAACTGTATAATTAGCATATTGTGAAGGCACAGATTTGAAAGTGCCAAATTATATACATTTTTAGTAAGTAAAGATAAGTGCAATTAGATCAATGCAGCTAATTTATATGATGGGTTGGTCAAATAATAAAATTGTTATTATGGGTTTTGTGTGTGTGTGTGTGTGTGTGGAACTGTGGCATTTTCTAATAACCTCACCACCATTTTCTCTTAGAATTACTGTTTGAACCAATTTTTTAAAAAGCTGGGAAGGATTGAAGAAAAATGTGAACAGTAATTGGTGCTTAAGTATTTTGGTTCTTCCAAATGGGGTGAAATCACTTTTGGGAGAGGATGACATTTTGAATCAGTTGTCAATTCCAGACATAGTGCATGTGATTTTGCTGCTTTTATCTTTTAAAGAATTTCTAAAGCATTATTTTTTCACTCGTGTTCTTCTACTTTTGGTTTTGGTTTAGAAAGATAAGGGCTAATTTGAGGTAAATCATCTGGCAATCCAGTTTGCTTTCCATTGCTATTTTCTTAATGGTTTGTGTGCTGTAGGCTTCAAAATTATCCATATGCTACATTGCTTAAAAACATTTTAAAGAAACAATATGGTTGCTGTTTTAATTCATTTATCTCCACTGTATATTTAGAGTCTGTATAAAGTGTAACTTCTCCATCATGTCAACGAAAAGATATTGCACTCTCGGGTTCATGAATTCAAGAAACATGACATAATAGACTGGCAAATATGGCCTTGTGTCTTCTGATGATGATCCAAATCCACTCACTTATCTTGATCTGCCTATATTGTTAACAACATGGGATGTCACAGAAGAAATTTTTCATTTTAACTGTTCTTTATGTACAGTGCAGTGTGGAATTTACTTTTTATTGCCTTTCAGAGGAAAGTATCATACCTCTCAGTGAAATAATGGTTTTGTCAGACACTGGTATCTTTATTGTATAGTGCTTTTAAATTCTGCACTATTTATACCAAGCTTTCTTGGCTTAGGACAGGTGAGATGTGATACCTGTGATTCTCCATGAGAATGCTTAAAACTTTATGGATTCAGAAGTGCATTGTTTATAAGTAATTGTAGGTTCTGTATAGAAGGTTACAAGGAGAATTGTTTTATTACAAGTGCTCTATGAATGTGTGAAATATGAACAGCTATTAGAAATGACTGACAAGCCTAAAGCTTGAACTCATAATCTTAATATTGATTTGCTTGCCTCTTCCTTCCATAATTACACTAGTTACAAAGTGTAGACATTGATTTGCTGTTAGAGGTTTTATTATGTTTGTTCATGACAAGAAGAAACAGCAGTCATTTTATTGCATGGATTGCCAATGTTTTGTTGTTGGGAGGCGTCTAAAACTCAAAGAACGATAGGTAACTGAAATTCATGGGATCAAGGAAGAATCTATAAAAGGAAGAAAATGTGGCATTTGTTTTAGAACAACACTGAAGATAGGGCTGCCACTCAAATTGAAATAATTTTAATTGGTCTAAATATTTGTAGCAAGATATCATTACAACAGAAAAGGAGATCTGCATATGCTTCAGGGGCAGATAAGTGTTTTGTGGATTGAATGTTTTCTCTGTGTCTGTGTTTCTTGTAATATTTTGGACTCTTCGGTATTTTGAAGGGTATGATTTGCTATTTTGTGAGGGTACCTAAGTGATAAAAAAAATTATATAAACATATATATATACTTTTTTTTTTTTTTTTTTTTTGTAATAATTATTTCAAGATGAAAAACATAGTGGTTGAATTTAGATGAAGTGAAATCAATGACCTCCAACTGTAAATAACTTGTATGAAAGTAGTCTTCTTTTTCTCTGGGTATCTTTTCACTTTATTGAGAGGATATGATGACTGAGCTTTGTTTAGCCATTCTCAAAAATCATACAAAATATATATCAGAAACATAATCAAAGCCCTTTTGCAGGCCTACTTGCTAGAGACAGAAGAGATGGAGCATACGTGAAAAGGGCATCCTTTTCAAAATGCCAAGATATGTTGTTTTTTGTTGTATGTAATACAGTATCACCAAAAAGCTGTTGGTTTCTTTTGACAAGGAATTCTTTTTATCCTAGATACTATACTTTATAGATAGATAAAAATGTTTATATATACACATATCTATCTCTAAATAATGTGTATCTATATATCTGCGTGAATGGGCTTTTGCTTATTTTTTTTGTAAGCACATGTATGGATGCAAGTATAGTTATTGATCTTACTCTGGATAGTTTGCTATCTAAAAAGAACAGGTCAATAAAAGGTGAGAGAACGGAAGCATTACATCCTGAGTGTGATGATCACTCACAGACTGTGCGTGATTTTGAAGCTCCAATAGGATGTAGGCTAAGATCCAATTCACAAAGCTCTGGTCTGTCAAGATCTTCCCTAGTCTTCCCTAAAATGCACATGCATTTACTTTGTTTCAGTTTCTTGGAAGTGTTTTTGTGATGTATGTGACAAAGTACTACATGATAGTGAGCGGAGGATTGAGTTATACAGGTGTCTTTGGCACTGCCTTTTGAATATCTGCGCCTCTCTCATTTTAGAAAGCAATTTTCATTGCTCTTTACTGTTTACCAAAAGAATAAGCATGAGAAAATGAAAAGTATCTAGATATACTATGGCCTTATTGGCAGAGTCACAGACTTTATAAACTGCTTATATTTATTTATATTTATACATATACTCTCATGTGTATGAGAGCACTCAGTCTTTGAAATCTTTTGATCACTGTCCTTCTCCTTCTTGCCTTTTTTGGAGACTGGAGTGGAAATGGCTTTCCTTAAGCCCTCAAGCACCTCTCAAATTCTCACAGAATTGCAGGGATCAGAAGAGACCTCAAGAGATCAACCTGGTCAAGTCCAACTCCCCTGTTAAAGCAGGTACAATAGGTCCCACAGGTTGGTGTCCAGATGGGTCTTGAATATCTCCACAGAAGGAGACTTCACAACCTCTTTTGGCAGCCTGTTCCAGTGCTCTGTCATCCTTACCATAAAGGTCTTCTTCCACTTGTTGGTATGGCACTTCTAGTTTTAGGACATCACTTCTTGTCCTATTGCTACACACCACCAAGAAAAGCCTGGCCTCATTCATTTGCCTTTCACCTTCCTTTAGATGTTTATAAACATTAATCCGATCCCCCCTCAGTCTTTTTCCCAGGACAAAAAGACTTTCTTCATATGGGAGATGCTCTAGTCCCTTTATCACGTTTGTAGCCCTCTACTGGCCTCCTTTTAGGAGATCCCAGTCTTTATTGAACTGGGGAGCCCAGAACTGGACACAATGACCTTTCTTCATAACCTTTCAAAGATGATAGGGAATGGCTTGGCAGTCACTTCTGCCATCTCCCTGAGCACTTGCGGGTGCATCCAATTGGGATTCAAAGAAGTGATGCTTGAATGTCAACTATCTCTCTTGGTCTCCCTTACCTTCCAATGCTCTAACTTGAGAGCTGCAAGTTAGGTCCTTGAAGAGGACAGAGTTGGCTCTCCTGAAGTCTGGAGTTGCAGTCCTGCTCATTGCCCTGTTTCTCACATGTAAGATCCTGAACTCCACTATCTCATCATCGCTGCATCCAAGACTGCCACAAACTTTCACTTTTCCCAGCCAGTCAATCCTTTTTGTAAGAACAAGATCCAGCAGCACACCTCTTCTCTCTGATTCTTCCACTAACTGCTTCAGAAAGTTATCTTCCATATACCGCAGAATCTTCCTGGACTGTGTGTGCATGGTACTGTTGTTTTTCCAGCAAGTACGAGTGATTGAAGTCCCCCATGAGAACC